TCTTGCTCACGCACGCACGCACGCACGCACGCACGCACGCACGCACGCACGCACGCACGCACGCACGCACGCACGCACGCACGCACGCACGCACGCACGCACGCACGCACGCACGCACGCACGCACGCACGCACGCACCAATTACCTTGTAAAGATTCGATGACTTCTGTATAGCTTCGTGAGAAAGACGGAATTTCCATTTCGATAGACCACGTACAGTTCCAAATAAACGTTTATTTTAATAAATTTTCGTTAATTTTAATGCAGACGTTATCACTAACTGACACAGATCAGATTATTATTTAGTTAATTTTTTTTTACATAACGTGTCACTTCAACATTTCACCACTCGATTCACATACTCGATTGACATACGAACAATTCACTGAAAATCACGAAAAATCAACTAATGCATCTATCCGTTACGTACTTTACAATCACTGTCGTTTAATTATCTATCCACTGAAACATCACACGAAGAAACATACGGCGATTTATTAATACACGACCCATTCACTCAGGGACAGCAAGCAGTCGACTGACTTTAATACCGAATTTATTTATTAATAATTATCAGTGTCGATTAATTATTTTTCGACTAAAAAAGTCATTCGAAAAAAGAAACACACGACGCGTGCACTCGACGATAGCAAGCAGTCGACTGACTTTAATACCGAATTTATTATAAGTTAATAATTATCAATTCTGTGTCTATTAATTATACGTCGACTGGAAAATCACTAGAAGAAAGAAACACGCGCATAATTTATTAACACACGACGATTTACTGACACACGAGACATTCACCCGACGATAGCAAGTAGTCGACTGAATTTATTGGTTTTATGGTTATGTTTGTATCATTGTCGAAACACGAACATGTGAGTGAACGTGTGTCAGTAAATCGTGTGTTACTTACAAGGGAACCTCGCGAAGTGTCAAATTCTGATCTTAACGAAACTTTTTATACATGTAGGTTACCTAAATAGATGAATTTAGAAATTAGCAGTTGCGGCCCAAAAACGGTTTAAAGGTATGAAACCATCCCTTATATATAAATTAATTTTTCTTTTTTTCATTATATCTCAAAAACTGTTCAAGATATCAAAAAATGTTTTATACAAAAGTTTTACAGTAAAATTATTTCTATTTACTTACGTTAATAATATTTTTTTAGAATAATAATATTTTAAAAGTTTTTTGAAAATTTTTGAAAATAATCATTTTTCAAAAATTCTATTAATGTTAATGAATAGAGTAATTTTACTGTAAAACTTTTGTATAAAACATTTTTTGATATCTTAAACAGTTTTCGAGATATAATGAAAAAAAGAAAAATTAATTTATATATAAGAGATGGTTTCATCTCTTTAAACCGTGTTTGGACCGCAACTGCTAATTTCTAAATTCATCTATTTAGGTAAAACATGTATAAAAAGTTTCGTTAAGATCAGAATTTGACACTTCGCGAGGTTCCTTTGTAAGTTAAGTCGAAGCATGTACCGCTTCTTAAATTTTCTAGTACAATATTATATTAATAAACGCTGTCATCTTCGTTAGAAAGTGCTCGTTAGTGTGGCCTATTTTTAATACATTTTTTATTGAAATATTAAAAATTTAATAAAAATTATTGAAACTCAATGCATAATATTATAAAATCTTTACAAATTCTTTAAGCAGAAGTATTTTCACTTAAAGTCGACTCGTTTTTACTAAAACAAGTGAAAACTCAGAATTTCAAATTAAATATTTAAAAAATTATAATAAAACATAATTTTATTGTTACTTGATATATAATTTTATTATTACTTGATATATTAAAATATTATATAAAAAATTATATAAAGAAGGATTTGCTAAAAATATTACATGACGTTGACTTTGTTGAGAAAAGTCTCGTGTTTTAACAATCCTTGTGCAAACTAAATACAGGATAAATTACAGAGTTCTTTGACTAATTTAATACTATTAATACGCTGATAATATTAATTTACCATAACATTAAAAATTTAACGAAAATTTCTGGACTGAATGCATAACATTACATTAAAACCTTTACAAATTCTTTAAGCAGAAATGTGCATTTTCATGTATACTCAGAGTTTAAAATTAAATATAGAAAAAGTTATAAAATATAATTTTATTGTTATTACTAAAAAAGTTTTCATATATATTAAAATAAGATGTCATAAAAACTATGCATAATACTGCTTAATTCATTATTATATATTTTTGTATTAATCAGCATAAAATAAATATAAATGTTACAAATTAACATTCAGTACGGAAATCTTAATTATTTAATTAACGTTTCACTTGTATTTATTTAATTAAATCTCTCATGTTGTGCTGGACGCATACAGCATGTTATTCGCATTATAATTATGTAGCATTTTCTTAATTAAAAGAAATAGAGAAGATAGAAAAAGATTTTATAATTTTTTATGAAAAAGTTTTTTTCAAAATCTTCAAAAAAATTATTAGGTTACATATATATAATACTTATGTAATATATATAATTTAATAAGTTTTGAGATGTGAAGGATATGGACTTAAGATTATTTTCCTTCTTTCTACAAATTAAAGTTTGCCTAGACTAGAGATTCCGAGAATATCGCTGCAACGCTGATCCGGAGATCACGAGATTGAAATTGAATCTAAACTATCCCTGGCGAGAGCCTTGTACTCCTACTCGTTACACTACCATAGCCGTCCCGCCGGCCGCCTCTTTAATGATTATCACGATCCTTTGTGTGAATAAGACGTCTTGAGTATACGTCAAAAGATTGCCGGGTCGGTAAGAGAGTAATGTAATGTCCACACGTTGCATCGATTCCGGCGAAAAAACCCATCGTGAGACTTTGAGAACGAAATCGCGCGCGCGCAGCCACCTAAAGTCCCTTGACGTATTACGTATGTACGTTTTGCCGCGCACAAAGACGATGGATCGAATACATCCGCATCCCGGGACAAAGGCGAATTTTTCACGCTCGTATGCCGCACATTTTGCACCTGCTTATCTTGTGCAAAGGACATAGGGTGTACAGCGGGATAATTTGAATAATTTCAAACTTTTTGAACAATTTCTCGCGAAATAATAATTCTATTCTTAAATTGAGTATGTAGCAGAAAACTCACATGTGTTTAAAGAATATTTACCTAATATATGAAAAGTTATTCTTTAAATCTTGAAACGCAGGTCGTTATCCGATTTACCCCTACAATTTTAACGGAAATCAATTTTGAGGGATAATTTGAATAACATTGAAAATAAACATTAATATGTATTACAATAAAACCAATCTTATATTTAAATGTTTTTTTTAAGATTTTATTATATTTTCCAAATCAAATTGAACACAAATTAAAAAAACATATAATGATTATGTTAGTCCCAATTTTTTAAGTATGACGAACGTAAATAAACTTTTTAACGTTGATATTATATAATAAAAGCAAAACATTATATTGATCTATTGTGTTTTAAATATTAAATTGCACTCCTCAGACAAAATTAAACAGAAATTAGTAAGGGAATCTCTGGTTGCGAGATATTTAACTCTTTCTAAAGTTTTCTAAAACGCTGTCAAACACAGCGGGACGCCCAGTAGCAGTTTTAGAAAATTCATGTTCATCGTATTTGTTTTTTTTTTTTTAGATTGTACTTTTCTGCATGGACCATGAAATAGTTGTGCAGCTTCTGAAACCGAGATAACACTATCAATGACAGCTGTAACGGCTTGTTCCATGCTCTCTTTGCTCCAATTCAATTAAGCATTCTTTTCTTTATAATACTTAATGTCTGATATAATGAAATAAATCTTAAAATCTCTTATTCTTCTGAAATTTTTGCGAATACTTACCGTTATCCAAATTTCCCCACTGTTCAAATTATCCCGCTGAACCCTACATGTCAGAGAGACAGCGAGGGTTGCGACAGCAAAAACTCGAGACGCGTCGCTCCTCTTCCGCCCCGCGTACGCGAAACGCGAATAAATATCTATGTTATTTCGTTTATTCCGTTACAAACCCTTTCACGACGAGCATTCCTTTAATCCGGCTATCGCAGTTTCAATTACCTCTTACTTTACCCGTAGGAGGACTTATCGGGGATTCCATTCAAATTTCTAGCGCACGCGCGCTCACGGATTTTTAATCCCAAACTATTTTACAAATGGAATTGTCGACGTAGACACGCGCTAGAAGCTCACAGAGTTCGTTGAAATATTTCGATCGATGATCACAAAATGTCACTGGACGAGAATAGAGATATTGGAAAGAGATATTTATTACTTATTTTTTAATTATACAATAATTTTAATTTCGTATTATTCGATATAATTTTGTTTATTGATGGCATTAAGAATTTTCTCATAACTCTCAACTCCTCCAATATATGTATTTGTCGAAATAAAAAGCAAATTCTTTGCAATAAGAGCATATAATAGAATTTGAGTTCTAAAGCGTATAGTGCTGAGCGAAATCATTATAATAAAGTAATAATGAAAAGCCAATTTTACGGGATATTATCTGTCGTGGAATTCATTGCATGTGCAAAGAATGCCGAGGCAAACTTCTCCATATATCGCTTATAGACGATTCACAAGATCGTTTCTTAAAAGCGGACCATCGTCTGGGGGATATAATGGCAATAAGGATCCTCAAATAAAGTTTTATTATATGATCTCTTGCATTGCACTGAATACGGTTTCTGGTTTATCCGCACAGGAGAGAGGTGAACGCATCATAATATGTTATTTTTGCATCTTTAGTCGAATTTCACATTAGATTTTCACGTCACTTTATTACAGTTCATTTTAACTTGTAATTAAATCTCTCTAATAACTTACCCAACAAATTCACAGATTCTCACACAGTACAGCGAAACTTGTAGCAACATTGTTGCAACGTTGCAATATTGCTACAACATTGCTGGAACATTGCAATGTTCCTACAACATTTACATTCTCTTCGGTTAATTTTCATCTGCTTATCACGATAATATGAAAATATACACCCTTAAGTTAGCCATAAGTATAAAGTACCCTGAATTTATTGCACTTTCTTGGAAAAGATGGTATAACAAAAGCCAAAAAAGGAATAACAAAATATTAAAATGTTATAAAAATAAATATTATTTTTCGATAAAACTGCTTTTATTTATTTTGCATTCGACACAGGAAGCAAAATAAATAAAGAAGAATTTATGTCAATTTGCGGGGATGTTTTATACTTATGGCTGTATTAACAACAAAATGTTAAGAGTGTGGAAATAGTTTATTCAATGTTATGTAATGCACACATTATCATTTCAATCCAGATGCCTGTCTAAGCTACGGACATACTTGTTGGGGTGGTACGTAGCGTTAGTAATAGTAAACAGTTAGTTTTAATGATAGTAAATATTTTTTTATTTAAATAATGGCAATAATAAATATTTTAATAATCTACACCTACTACTCAATTTGTTTAACTATTGGTGCATTGTAAACATGATGTAAAAAAATTGTAGGGCACGGAAAGCGCAGCGACGTCCAGGATATACCCGCTACGCGCATTTTAGCGATCAAGTCTCTGCTTGAAAATGGCTTCGCATCTTCCTCCAAGACGCAGTGGATTCTATCCCGTTTGATCGCCGGACAGCCTATATTACCACTGATAGATAAATATCGCGTTAGACAGGACGGCTTTCGTAAGGATAAATCGTACGTCCCACCAAAGTGGAATCGTAATATGGCACCGATTACTGACGAAAGCATTGAGTCAATCAGGTGAATTTCTCTCGAGAAATGAAGCCGGAGGATTAAAGCGTCACCTCGGCAGAAGATTGTTCACGAAAAACTGCTTATGCGACAATTTTTGTAATTATTTATTGCAAAAAAATCTGTCAGTATTTTGTTTATCAAATTTTTTAATTTAACTTAAAACCCTCGTAACATATGTTTTACTTTAAAAAATGTAAAACATTATGCAAAACGTAAAGAAACATTTTTTTTAATTTTAAGATTAGATCTCATGTATATAAAAGTTAATAATACACATGAAGGAAGCATTGTTTTATGCATTATATTATTGTTACCTGCGAAATTTCATTCAAATCGATGAATTTGGATTTACTTGTTAGTGCTTAGGATTAAATATTATAATTATATTATAATTATATTGCTAAAGATTTTTCTCAAAAGAAATTTTAAATTGTTCAAGCAATGAGATTATATTTTTGAATTATATTAACAATAAACTGAATTATTACTTCCAATTATACTAAAATATTTTCAAACGTTGTATAAATGCGACATAGAGGAGCAGCCGTAATCGCATAAACATTGAATTAGATATTTTAGAGATGGTCACAATTGGAAAATTTGTGTGTTAACTTTAACACATTTCACATGTCCGAAACAGTCCACTCAAATTTTTTGTATTAATTTGACACAAGATGAACGTGTAAGAAAGTAACATTATGTAAAGCATTAAAAATTAATACGAAAAATAGAACACTTTAACACAATTTAAAAAGAAATTGCGGAATATTTCTTTAGCAAAATTAACATTTATAATATGTTAAATTAACACGTCTTTATTTATCTGTTACTCATTTATCTGGAATTTACGTTTCTTAAATACATTATTTTTGTATTATTTACTTAATATAATCATAAATTGTATAATTTTAACACTGATGCGAAATATTAAATTTCCGTACACAAACACAAAATATTTAAATACATAATCGCATTGCATTAAATTAACACACGGATATGTAGAAAATTCAACATAAAATTTCAATAAAGATTTGAGTGGACCGTTTTTAATATAGCTACAAAATGTTTTCTGTATCTATGTGTATCTCACGAAAGGATAATAACAAAGTCACATAAAAAAACGAATGTAAAGAGACGATGTTTTTAATATTGGCAAAGTTCTGAAGCACATGTTTTCGATGATTCTTATTCAAAATTTTATACTTTGATTTGCAAACAATTGGAGTGATAGTTAAACTTCCCAACTTTGATTAAGACATAATATTATATTAAAATAGTTATGCGATCAATAACAGTTTTATTTTATCATTACTTTCGAGCATTAAATGAAGATTATGGTCTAGAAAGCGATTTTTAAGGTAAATTTCAAGATATTTTTAAAGAAGAGTAATTGAATATATAAGAATAAAAGATGTTGTATATATATTTATGTTTAAATTATGTGTATAAATTTTTGAAAGTATCTAAGATCAATATTTTTGAAATTATAAACTGCTACGCACATTCTATAAAAAATGTCGTTCCTTGATGGATGTGATTGAAGAACTTCTATATATGTAAAAACAAATCAATATAATTTTTAATGTATAACTATCATCCGTACTAAAATAAAAATGTTGCATTAAAATTCAACAAAATGATGGTATTGTAAACTTCAAAGTTCTAATTTGTCAAAAAATTTTGCTGTTTTTTTTGATAGAAAGATAATAATAATTATAAAAGATAATAATAATTGTAAAAGATAATAAAGATCATAATAATTATAAAAAGATAATAAATTTTAAAGATATTGATTTGAAAGATAAGACTTGATTTTAATAAAAACAATAAATACAGATTAAAAATTTGGTTGAGACGTTTGTTTAAGATGGAAAGGAATCTTCCAATTATAATATATTTACTATTAATGTGCAAAAAGTACTTTTTACGACAGGATGCTTTGATTTATAGCTTCGAGAATATTAAATTTATATCGGTATTTATAGTCCGTTTTTATTTTAAGAGACCTACTTAAATAATGTCTTAAAAATGAGACTTAAGATGTTACGGATCTTTGATCGATTTAAGACTGTACTTGAGAAATTCTTAAATATAAAAACTATGATTTTATCGACCTAGATACTTTTAAAAATTCATGTGATTTAAACATGAATAAATATGACTTACATAAACTTTACATAACCATCAAAACCTAATATTTCTTTGTTCAATAGTTTATCTTTTAAAAAATCATTTTATCTTTGAAAATCGCTTTTTAGACTAAAATTCCTTAATCTTTTCCCCATTTTTTTCTTTTTATTATTTCTTTATTATTTAAAATAAATTCCATTGAAAAATATTAACCTTTTTTGCTATAAATAAATAGAAATTAGAAAATAATTTCTCAAATATAAATTTTTATATTTATACACATCTTAAATAATACTAAAAGAAATATATTTGTTATTTTATTAATAAGCTAACATAATCGACATACATTTGCAGAATTTCAATTAACAATGAAAACAAAGATAATGGAAGGAAAATTAGCAGCGCACAAGGTACAATGCGTAATATGAACGGAAAACTTGAAAACAGTCCGGAGGTCTTACTCATTTCACCTGGTGAATACGATAAGCCAATTAACGATCCTCAAAAGTTAAATCTACTCAAGCTTCTGGTACGCCTCGCGATTCTATTAACCGTTATCGAATATTTTTTTTTATTAAGTAAGTGTTTTTAAGCGTTAAGTTACATCAAATATTAGTGCTTGCTTAATGATGCATACGTTTGTTTTCAGAACGAGGCGAATGGAGGTGCAAAATAAACGGGATATTAAAGACTGTAAAACACATTGCGACGAAAAACAATTTTAAAAAGAACAGGTCTTATCGTCGAAGTGATAATGTAATAATTCTCTGTAAAAAAAAAAAGAAACGTATACGTGTTTTCGTATTAAATCCCGATTTGATTTGGTGCTCTCTACCTAGACGACGGATCCTCAATTAGAAAATTATATTCGTCTCTAGCGAAACTCTCGATGACATTGCGACTCTGTTGCAATCGCAATCACGTCCAAACTATCCAACATAATAATAATAATTGCGCTGACTATCTCAGCGTTCAGCTTTCAATTAGCGAGATTGCATATGTATATCCACTAACTATACCAGATTATCTGTGCGAAACTGCTTTTCATTTTCCTCCTACTCTGTAAATCTCTTACCGAATAAATCTGAAACTTTCATTTTATATTAATTGATATACGCATATTGAAAATTAATTAACTAAATTAATAGTATCGGTGAAATCTTGTGAAAGCGTGTATTGCTATATAAAAAAAAAGTAAATCGCATTCTCAAACACTTTATTCAGTCTTGAAACTCTTTCGGCATCTGCCAATACATTTATTTTATTCGATTCTTTACATTAATAAATTGACAAACAAAGTCACTGACTTGCAATTTAAGTAATCAATACCTCAAAATTAACTCAGCATTAAGCTACTAGGAAAATATAAAATAAATTAAAACTATTATCGTATTAGAACGCACACAAGTAAGATAAATAAAATGAAATATTCGCCGAAAATATATATTGATAGTATTGTAGTTCCTTGTTGCGATTTATTATTAGGAATGTAAAAATAATTGAATAACATTAATAATTATTAATAGTCAAATAGCATGATTACAGTCTGTCAAGTAAGATCGTGGCCGGCCTTTCTCACAATTACTGATACAAGGTATCGCCCTAAATTTTTCGTGAATCGATAGAGGAAAGCCTTGTCTTTGATGCACTATCAAGAAAGATTCAGTTGTCCTTGATTTTTTGCAAGAGAAACACGTTAAGCGTCATGAGTGTCAAATACGCGTCGCGCTACGAGGCTATGTTTCTACGCACCACCCGAAAGGTCCGAAAATGTCGCAATCAGCGACTGTTAAATACATGAGAAAGTCAAAAGCATTCGTATAGAAGTGGGTGCAGCGACATAATGTGGCAAAAAAATGTCGATGATTTACCGGAACGTGGATCGATAGGCAAATCGGATAAAAAATTAGTGAATCTGTTTTCGCAAAATCCTGGCTTAACACTGCGTCAAGGACAAGCAAAATTGAAACAGAAAGGTTTATAGATATATCGTACGAGATAATTCGATTTCATTTCCGTGCTCATAATGTGAAATGGCGCATCACAATAAAAAAATTTCTGTTGACTGAAAAGTGTGACGAAGCGACTCGTTTGGGCACCCAAACCTTGATCGAGATTTCAGTAACGTAATTTTTATCGATGAATGTTCTATATATAGGCACAAAGCACAAACTTCGTGGAAACCGTACGTTCACTTTGAATCAGTTATCTCGCAAGATTCATTCGATTTCGTTTTTGCCGCTAGAATACGCCGTCAATTTGGTCGAAAAATGTTTCGGAAATATTAGACAATTATTGACGCCGATGATTACCAAACGCATTATTAACATAAATATTGCATCTTTGTTCACGTCGAGTACAATGCATATATGTATTTGAAATTTTTATTTAATAAATTTTTTTATAAATTAACCCGACTATGCTTTTACTTGACAGACTGTAGTTTTAACTTGCGGACATTTATTTCGCAAAAATAAATTGTAACGTCAAAACAGGCGTACGACAGATGTTCACAGTGTATACATTCGACACATTTTGAATTTAACGATTACAAGATGATCATTGATTTTCTGAGAGCGCAGACAATAAAACAAGGAGTAAGTTTCTCTTCGTTCACCACGTATGTATACATGCGACACGACGCCGAGCGTTACCGACAAGATTCACGCAACATTCGAGCTTATCTACTGAAAATAACGTCATCACGAGATACAGAAGAGACGAAGTCGTAATATTGTGTAATTTCGAGAAAACACTGAACGTTTATCAAACATAGTCTGCAGAATGATAATGATCTAATATACATAAAAGCTTCAGTTGTGCAGTTCACAAATATTTAAATTGTACTCCAGTAACTTAAATACATAAATATAAATGATATAGCAACAGACATATCGACAACAATTTTAAAACTATGTTTTTCTAGTATTGCTATAATAAATTATATAAGTCTTTATAGTAACGTGAGAAAGGTGATTGTCACATCATTAACGGAAAAATAATTGACAGCGAAGTTAGGAGGTGTATGAGTGGTTTTGTGAGTAAATAGTCTCGTATCAAGATAATTAAAATCTTAATAATATAAATAATTTTTCCTTCGGATACGATATGCTTTTTTTCGAATACGTAACTATTATAACTAATCATATCGAGCTAATTAAAATCTTTAACGACGTGCATAATTAAAAAGTCGCATCAAGCTAATTAAGATCTTGATATAAATAATTTCTTTGGGATACGACATGTTTAATTAAACGGTCGTATCAATCTAATTCTAAAACCTTAATAAAGTAAACAATTTCTTTCGGAGAAATATATATATGCGTAACGTAACAGTCATATCGAGCTAATTAAAATCTTAATAAAATAAATAATTTTCTTTAGGTTTGATACGCGTAAATATTTACAAAACTGCTTAGTTTCTTGACATATGCAGATAATTCATCTTCCCTTATTTGGTGATGTCCGTATATGTGCGATGCGGGCGACGATGCGACGCTATCTGAAAAATATACCATGCATGCCTCATTAGATACGCTTATCTTTCTTGTCCTGATTCCCATTCCAGTTCGTAAACTAAAATCATTTTTTACTTCTAATGTTTCGTAATTCGTAACTAACGCAGAGTAGTCTCCACTGAAACTATACGCAAGTGTAATATTTCTTATTTTTCGATCAATAAAGAACTCTCTGTTGTTTCGAAGAACATACATTATTTCTTGCCTAGCCAACTTATATACATATACATATACATATGTGTGTGTGTGTGTGTGTGTGTGTGTGTGCGCGCGCGCGCGTGTGTGTGTGCGTGTGTGTGTGTGTGTGCGTGTGCGTGTGCGCGCGTGTGCGTGGGCGTGGGCGTGTGCGTGTGCGTACGTGTGTGTGTGTAATATGTCTCGTATCTCCACAATCCGTATCTCTATCTGTAAAAAGACACGTACCCATTCGTTCACTAAAGATGACAGTGTATTAACGAATTGCTGATCTGTACGAGTCCTCATGAAAGTGTTGCTATGTTTCCCGAAATCTGTCGTTCAGAAAAATAATTCGTCGTTCGCCGATGATACTTCGGACCCTCGAAAATTCTAGTTGAAACTCTTACGAAGTGTTGCCTTGCTCATTCGCGTTGATTCTTACACCACCAGCACCAAAACGGGCATGCACGCAAATAAAGCAAAGACATGCTGAAAATTATAATTATTGGTATTAGTCCGACGAGTAATTTGCGTGAACGTGGAATGATATGTTGGAAATTATGGCAATGGTGTTTCGTTAAACGTGATTTGCAGATCCGCGCAGAACAACATTTGTATTTATGACATTTTATATATGTCCTTTGACGCAATCAACTAAGTACGTACTCCCTTTTTGTACATTCGAAAATGTCATCTCTAATTATAGATATGTGTAATATAATCTTTCAAAAGTTTTTCGTGGAGACTGTAATTTGTTCGTTAAACATCGCCGCAGAGTAAATTTTAGAAGTATATGTGTACTATTATACATATGTACTATTATATATACTAGAATTAGAGAATATAGAGGGAGATAGGAAGAGATCCTTCGTACACGGGGCACATACATACATTCAGTGATTTGGGAAGAATCGCGCAGATTCGGAACACGTCTATACATATTTAGTTAGTCTTATTGCGCGGCCACATGCCAGCAAAATTTCATATTAGTCGAATTACATAAACTGACAGAGCAGGATATTACGTGTTTTAGCGTCCGTTTGAGTAAATTTTCCAAAGTATTTGACAAGTAATTTAAGATATCTTTGATTAAGGTTATAAACAAGAACAATATTTCTAGCAATTAGTAAAATGTCTTAAAATTATACTATAATCATTAACTTTATCGTATTATTTGTGAATTCTATTAAAATTAGCGTAATTATTTTCTTTTGAATTTTTGGGGTAGATTCGTACACAAGCATAAGGGCATTTTTCGTATATGTTGTAACGTTACAGTCCGCTGCAACAGAGCAGCATCCCGCCGGCGTCACAATTGGCGCGGGTTCGTGCCCCTTTTGCCGAGCCGACAGCCGCGTTCTATCGAGCAAGACCGAGATTTCCGGGAGGCCCAAAATGATATCGCGTGCATATTATTTATTGTTACAATTTTTGTATGTACCCCGGGCGCCTCGCCGGCCATATAGAGCATCTACAACGAGGAGTTGGAGCGGCCAGGAGAACCAGGAGATGACATCTTGAAATAGAGCCGACACGGCGCAGGAGTAAAGGGGGCACGCACGTGGCAATCGAGCGAAGCATATTCTGCGATCGGATACGCCATTTTTATATTTGTGTTCTCGTCGTATGCGCCCTTCCGGCGACGCGAATTAAATTGGGTTTCGGTATCGGCGTTCGACCTCAAGTGCGAGACGCCCCTCCAGGCCTTGCCGTTGCCAGGAGTGTAGTGCATCGCGATTCGAGCCACCCAGGGATCGTCGCCGTGAGTGCGCCGCAAAGCCCTCGCGCATCCGTGCGCGAGTTCCGTCGTGAGTGCGCGTGTACTCGGATTCGCGAGCCTTGTCGCACGTGTGTCGGAGCGCGCGATCAAGATATATTTCGTGGTGAGTGCGTCGAATTGTCGCGATCGTGCCCATGCACCTGCGGGTTTGTCCGCCGAAAAGAATTGAAGTGCGCCGATTCGCGTAATTCATCGTTCTCCAACCGGCTGGTCACTTCTACCAGAGATAGAGTATCATCGCGTCTTTTTATTTATGCTTTTGGGTTTCTCTTTCGTGCTGTGTCGGCATGCATAAGTCGTTGTCCGTTGTCGTCCTTGCGTTTATTCTGTGCGCCTCCCTATTTCTTCAATTCTTTCGCGGTCGGCATCGGTAATCGCGTCGTCGCGTGATAAAGAGTGACCCCAAAAATGCTCTGTATTCTCGCCCTCAATTCCGGACTTTATTGGTGATAAATGATAGTAAACCATGAGACACTAATCCTCTGAAACTTTCAAATTGAGCCTACTTTTTGTTGGCAAGTTATGAAGCCTCAAAGTTATCATTTTATATCGTGTTTCTCAAAACGGATCTTTGCATGCAAATAGCTTTTAGGCAAACCATTTTTGAGAAAAATGTTTTAGACAAAAATTGTAGGATGTAAAAGGGTACACAAAATGATGACTTTTACTGTGACCTTGAAGACATTTCTGAAGATCATTTGAAGGTCAACTTTTGATTTTTAAATGAGAACTGTTATTTAAAGTAACGTTTGGGAGTGAAAGTTTATTACGAAGTATTTTTTTGGACTGAGGATTGAATAATAGAGGTGGCTTTGGGGTCAAAGTTGGTTTTATTACTTTTTTTGTTTATTTTTCTATCTGTATATTTCTACAATAAGAAAAAGTTTCCACTGGAAAAGCTGAATTTGATCTTGAAATGAACTTTAGAAATGTCTTCAAGGTCTAAGTAAAGGCCTTCTTTTATTTACCTTTACATGGTCTTGTTTACCTTACAAACCCTACAATTTTTATTTGACACTTTTATCCGAAATGCTTTTCCTAAAAATTATTTGCAAGCGAGTAGAAAAGTGGAAACTCTTTCTTATTGTAGACATAAACAACAAGAAAAGTAATGAACCAATGAAATCAACTTTGACCCCAAAGCCATCTCTATTATTCAACCCCCAGTCCAAAAAAATACTTTCTAATAATCATTTCACTCCCAAGCGTTACTTTTTAAAGTTCTCATTAAAAAATCAAAAGTTGACCTCCAAATGACCTTCAGGAGTGTCTTCAAGGTCACAATAAAGATTATTATTTTGTGTATCCATTCTACAACTTTTGTCTGAAACGTTTTTCTTCAAAATGCTTTGCCTAAAAGCTATTTGCATGCAAAGATTCGTTTTGAGAATCACGGTATAAAATGATAACTTTGAAACTTCATAACTTGCCAACAAAGAGTAGGCTCAATTTGAAAGTTTCGGAGGATTAGTGTCTCATGGTTTACTATCATTTATCACCAAAATAAAGTCCGGAATCGAGGGCGAGAATACAGAGCATTTTTGGCCTGTTTTTAGGGTCACTCTTTACTTTGTAGCACACGAATTTCGTAGTCTTAACTACGCGTTGCTGTTATTTCTTTTTCTTTGTGTGATACGTTGTGATCTGAGGCTTTTCTTTTTCGGGCGCGAGTGCGTTCGGCACTACGTTAATTTTCGTTCGCAGTCTCGGACCGAAAGATTCTTTATTTTCCTTTTTTTTTTGTTCTTAGTAAATCTATTAATTTTTTTGTTTCCATTATTATTCTCTGTTTCTATTGCACGCTACTTTTCTATTAAACCGTCTTGTTATTATTTTCCAAAATCAAAGTACGAATTCTTTCGCCCGCTCACCACCATCCTTAAGCAATTAGCGCGGATCACCCTTGGTTTCCACCCTGATCCTCTGCCGTTAGATAGAGCCGGCCGACCCTCACGCGATCGACGACGGGGTCCGAATCGGAGTGTGCGGATCTGTAACTGCGTTTCGCGTCCGCAGGTTTTGTTCTCATTGCAGTGAATTCGAGTCTCGCGAATGACGTCGCCTTAGAGCGCGTCTGGTGCCCAACTTAGCGTGAGATTCTCCGTCGATCGCTTCATTGAGAGGCATAATAACGAGGGCTAACATCTTCCCTCCCTGAAATATATTCCCTTCTCGCTTTTGATCCGCGCCCGCGCGAACGCAAGCTTGCCGAGCGCGTGACAATATATTATTTTGTTACTTAATTTAAAAAATTATTTTAGTTAAACGTTTGAATTTTGATCTCAACATTGATTTAAATACTGATTTAAAGAAGTTTATTTTATTAAGTTTATTTTATGTAAAAGTTTATAAAAAAGTTTAATTACCTACTGACAAGATTGTTTTCATTTAAATTTTAATTGTCAATAAATATTTAGAATAATAATTTTTATGTTTTATGTTTATATTCGAAGCTATCTTATGTGTACATAGGTGCCCTATTACATGTACGAAGCTACCGCGCTTGAGGGGTAGATTCGTACGATTTTCGAGTTTTGTAAAAATCATCTGCGTCCAGTTGTATATTAATTTATTATTTTAATTGCATGTTTTCATTGTAACTGGATATCTATACTATTTATTGATACAAACTTAAGTAGTGTAAAAGCATTTAACACAGTTTGGGAAGCAAAACTTCCAAAAGCGTACGAAGGATCCCCATCTCCCCCTACTTGAAAAATTCTTAAAATGTTTCCTATACATATTGTTGTTCTTGTCCTGCCGAGATTGAATTCGTACCTTTGCCGTTATCGTTATTGTGAACATTTCTCTTGCGGATTATTCTACTTTTTTCTTGAGCTGCAAAAGAAATTGTTATAAAAAAAAGATTTTTGGCATTTTTAGAATATTTATAAACCTCACGCAAACAGTTTTCGCTGGGCAAAAACTACTTACTTCGGGCCCGAGACAAGAGAGTAAATCTTTCCGCTAGACGAAAACTACTTACTCCACACCCGAGGTAAGCAAATCCATCCGCTGGACAAAAACTATTTAACAAAAAAGTCAGGATAAAAAGCCAAAGATGAGCGAAATACAGATGTCAGATAATAAAATTTAATATTCAAGTCATATAAATAAAAAAAAACTATTTACTCTGGGCCCGAGATAAGTAAACCTTTCCGCTGGGTGAAAACTACTTACTCTGGGCCCGAGATATTAAGTAAATTTTTCCATCCTTGTAACTCTATTAACCATTATTGAATTTTTTTTTTTGTTAAATAATCTCTAAATTTTTGGAGTAAATCTCACATACCTCAAAAGAGCAAAAATATTGTCACTCAGCCATTCGAGTGGCTCTTTTGGAATGAGATTCACTCCAGAAAATTTACAGAGTAAGTGTTTTTAAGCATTTCATCAAATATTAGTGCTTGCTTAATGCTGCAACGTTTGTTTTCAAAACAAAGCGAATGGGGGTACAAAATAAACAGGATATTAAAGACTGCAAAACATATTACGATGAAAAACAACTTTAAAAGAACAGGTTTCACCATCAAAGTGATAATGTAATAATTCTCTATTAAAAAAAAGAAACATGTATACGTGTTTTCCGAATTAAATCCCGATTTGATTTGGTACTCTCTTTATCTAGACGACAGATCCTCAATTAGAAAATTATATTCGTCTCTAGCGAAACTCTCGATGACATTGCGACTCTGTTGCAATCGCAATCACGTCCAAACTATCCAACATAATAATAATAATTGCGCTGACTATCTCAGCGTTTAGCTGTCAATTAGCGAGATTGCATATGTATATCCACTGACTATACCAGATTATCTGTGCGAAATTGCTTTTCATTTTCCTCCTACTCTGTAAATCTCTTACCGAATAAATCTAAAACTTTCATTTTATATTAATTAATATACGCATATTGAAAATTAATTAACTAAATTAATAGTATCGGTGAAATCTTGTAAAAGTGTATTGCTATGTAAAAAAAAAGTAAATCACAGTCTCAAACATTTTATTCAGTCTTGAATTTCTTTCGGCATCTGCCAACATTTATCTATTTGATTCTTTACATAATAAATCGACATAACAAACAAATTCATTGACTTGCAATTTAAATAATCAATACCTCAAAATTAACTCAGCATTAAGTTACTAGGAAAATATAAAATAAATTAAAACTATAATCGCATTACGCACAAGTAAGATAAATAAGATGAAATACTCGCCGAATATATGTATCGATACTGATAGTATTGTATAGTTTCCGGTTGCGATTTATTACTAGGGATGTAAAAATAATTGAATAACATTAATAATTATTAATAGTCGAATAGCATGATTAGTTTCAACTTGCGGACATTTATTTCACAAAAATAAATTGTAACGCTATCAAAACAGGTGCGACAGATATTTCATAGTGTATACATTCGACACATTTTCACTATTTAACTGTCCCGATTACAAGGTGATCATTGATTTTTTGAGAGCACAGACAATAAAACGAGGAGTGAAGTTTCGCTCTTAGTTCACCACGTTCGACACGACGACGAGCGTTACCGACAAAATTCACGCAGCATTCGTGCTTATCTACCGAAAATAACGTCGTCGCGAGATACAGAATTAAGATGTAATCTCGAGGCGAAACTGCATGTTTATCTACGTTCATCAAAACGTAGTCTGCAGAACGAAAATGATCTAATGCGTAAAAGCTTCAGTGTGCAGTTCACGAATATTTAAAACGTACTCCAATAACTCAAATACATAAATAAATGATATAGCAACAGATATATCGACAACAATTTTAAAACTATGTTTTTAGTGTTGCTATAATATATGTTTCTATAATGAATTATATAAGTCTTTATATAGTAACGCGAAAAACATGATTGTCACATTATTGACGGAAAAATAATTGACAGCGAAGTTATGAGACGTATGCGTAGTTTTACAAGTAAGTGGGTCTCGTATCAAGATTATTTTTAAAAAATTATAAGTTAATATAAATAATTATCTAAATAATATAAATAATTTCATTCGGATGCGTAGCTATAACCATTATCATATCGAGCTAATTAAAATCTTTTCCTTCAAATACGAAATGCGTAATTAAACAGTCGTATCAAGCTAATTTAAATCTTAATATAAATAATTTCTTTCGGATACGACATGTTTAACTAAACGGTCGTATCGATCTAATTGAAATCTTAACAATGTAAACAATTTCTTTCGAAGATATATATGTAACGTAACAGTGATATCGAGCTAATTAAAATTTTAATAATATAAATAATTTTCTTTTGGGCTTGATACGCGTGAATATATTTATGAAACTGCTTAGTTTCTTGACATATACGCGGGTAATTCATCTTCCCTTATTTATTGGTGATGTCCGTTTCTGTGCGACGCGGGCGACGATGCGACGCTATCTAAAAAAAATACACCATGCATGCCTCATTAGATACTTTTGTCCTTGCCCATTGCAGTTCGTAAACTAAAATCCTTTTTTTACTTCTAATGTTTCGTATCTTCTAACTAGCACAGAGTAGTCTCTACTGAAACTAAGGTAGTACTTATTTCTTATTTTTCGATTATTAAAGAACTTTCTCTTGTTTCGAAGAACAAACTATTCCTTGTCTAGGCTAACTTTTATATATATATATATATATATGTGTGTGTGTGTGTGTGTGTGTGTGTGTGTGTGTGTGTGTGTGTGTGTGTGT